ATAAAGCGTAATAGATGTTAAACGTCGCATCAAAAAAATTAAACAAAATTGATCGACTAGTTTTTTAATTACAGCTTCCGTAACAAATATGTTACTACGTTGAGTAAAATGCAAATCTAGCAGGGATTACTTCTGTCTACATGAAATGAAATCGAATGAAGCAATTTCGAAGAAACTCTGACAGAAAACAGTCCTATGTCACAGGTATAATATGTGGTAAAACATTACCTCAATCAGTTAAGAAGACATTGGTATCGACGAATTAAACAAACGTAAGGTGAATATTTAATTTTTTTAATGAAAATATTCAACCGCATTTTATTCCAAAACGCTCATATAATTTTTTTAAAATTCTTAATCGTGAAGAACTACATCTAGGCTTCAAGGAACATCAGGTGGTTTTAAAAGTTTACGTCTAGATGTTGAGAAAAATGGTCATATGTAAAATGCATGACGTCATCGCAGCGTTGCTATGGTAACACCGATGCCAATCAAAACTACTTTTTTGGAAAGTTCATTCTATTTCTAGTAAAGTGGTGAAGTAGCTAGTCAGACGGTGCTCTGACAGCGAAGTATCAGCCGTTCAAATTCGGGAAGGTATGCCCTTGCAAAACTGAGATGAGCCACCCTAACTGAATAATAAAATCACTGTAAGTAGAACATACGTGTCTGATATCAGTATCATATTTGATCCATGCTAAAGCAGCTTCAAAGACTCGCTCCTCAGATTGAATGTTTAGATCATCATCAGACAGAAGCCGTGTTAACTGCTTGGCAGAGATTTCCATAAACTCTTCACTTTGGACAACGTCAATGAAGTGATGTCTGGCGAACGACTCTGAAGATGTTACCAATTCTGTACAGTTATGACGATCAGCAAAGGCATTAATTCCTATGGAAAGATCGACAATAAAAATAATGTTTATTTAGTACATTGTAACTATTCTTTTTTCAAAATAAAAATATATTAATTAATATATTTTTATTACATATGGTACAGAGTAAGATGGGAAGCTGTATATGGGTCATGAAGATAAAGGAACTTAAACTAACCAAGTATTTTTGGGGGGGTGAGTGGAGGAGATTTACCGGCAAGAGTATGATGAATGTGGAAAAAGGGCGGGGTAGAGGAAAGAACCTGGGAAAAGGGCGGGGTAGAGGGTATGGGGAGAGGTACACTGTACAGTACCAAAGTACATACATGTTGATTTGGTATACATGCATACAGTACATATACAGAGGAATCTTGATTTCTCAAACCTCCAAGGGAAACGAAAATTGGTTTGAGAAATCGTGAGTTTGAAATATCTGGGATAAAAATACAGTGAAACAAATCCAAGAGAAATGACTTTTGGTTCGTGTTATTGGGGTTTTGAGGAATCTAGGGTTTGAGAAATCGGGATTCCACTGTATGTATGGAGTCAAATTCACGCACTACATTGTTCTACCCATGTTCATTGCTTCATTTCTTGCCTAGTGGCAATGACATGTTTTTCCACCTTTTCACCTTGACTTGCCATGGAAAGTACTACAGTACCAGTCAAATGTAAGTTGACAATCACTCGAAACTTAAACAACTTGACTCGATCCTTGAAGCTTGAAAACTTCTAGTATCGAGTCAAGAGCTTTGAGTTTCGAGTCGAGTGCTTCGAGTTTCACGTGGAGAAAACAAAGAGCTTATCCCTCGATTAAGTTTTCACAAGACTAATCAACTTAAGGTATCAGTATGTATTGTCGTACACTTTACGTTTCAGGGTTCTACATCGTACAATCGATAAAGTAAATGCTAAATTATTGTTGAACTAAAAACTTTAACCATTTGTTTAAATAATTCTGCTAATCAAAATTTTTTAAGAAGCGATAAATCTCGGAAAAACTCTCAGAGAATGGTCAACCTTCCTGATGTACATGTAATGTTGTACACTAGATTTAATGTCGTACACCTGGTTTCACAGGATCCTCGCTCGCTTTCTACGAAGTTTTGAAGCCCAATCTGCTTTCCCGAACAAACATAAATTCATCTCTTCTTGATTGAAGCCAACTAAATTGTATTATGATACATAAGAGGGAGACCGGCTTGTCTTCAAGCGAGAGCGCGTGGATTTACTTGCGATTTAACGAAGCGCGGCTTGTTTACAAGACTTTGTATGGCTTTACGATCGCTGTACGACAATACATCGGCCCGATTATCGGATAAACACTACTGTGGGTCAGCGGAAACTGACTGAATGAGGCCGATTTGACTTTTGGGACACAAGATGGCGTCGAAGTTTACGAAGGATCAATTTTCGAAGCAATCGGAGTTTGTTTTCTATTTTTTCAAGAATTTTTTCCCCGCACGCACGGAAATTTCAACGTCTATTTCACACGCCATCTTCCGCAGCTAGTAGGAGAAAAGTTTTTTCTTTTTCCTTTTCTTTTGGAGAAATAAAAAGGACTCGTTCGACAGAATCTTTGCGATGTGTACGCTCTGTTGATAACTGAAAATCATGTTGTTTTCCTTTATGTAGGCATTGGAAACGACTTTTTCTCGGCTGTACGACAATATATACTGTACGACAATAATATACGATTACCTTATATTTGACCGGTATTGTATAACACTGTAAAGTAATGTAGCACACTTAGTATAGTAAAAACTCACCGAGACAGTTTTCGGAGCTTAGTTGCCTTTTGAGGAACTCACAACAAGCTTGTTGTACAGACTGCACTTGCAGAAGACACGTGACTGGCAGAAGGTCCTGAACATTGTTCTCTGATATCTCAATTTCTCCACTATAGAAAAAATCCACAATAGTTTTCCATTGCATGTTCGTCAAGTTCTTGTAATGTCACAGAGCTTTGTCGACTCTCTGAGAGGCCCCCTATTAATTAAAAGTGTATTTTGTTTATTGTTGCTACTTATCACCATTATAGGGAAGCATAGTGGCCTAGTAATGGTTAGTGCACATTCAAGCTACATGTATATTGACACCAGCAATTGCTGGGGATGGGGTACAGGGGGGTATACACTTCCCAGTTCATGCCCCTTCTGTCATGGTTCCCGCCTCTTTGTGCTTTTTCTATTACAAAATGTTGTGAAATTTTTTTCCTCTTTCTCCCGGTTCCCACCACCTTGGGAATCCCACTTCCCGCCCTCTCTTCTCCCATCCCTTTACTTCTGGGTTCCAGCGCCCTCCTGTCCCACCCACCCCTCCCCCACAATTCTGAGACAGCAAGGGTTTGGTTGTTTTTTAAGGGAGCGCTTGTTTTTTTTTTAGGTGCCTCAGGCTCGCATTAGTTGCACATCAGGTTCCACTGCATTTCCATGTGTCAAATGTTGACAGGTTTCACAGGTTGAAAGCAAACTCTGGATATAAGTCATACTAGTTATAGTTACCACTAAAGTGCCAACGACATAGAGGAGCGAATAATAATTATTGATAGAAAGCTTCAAATAGATGATCATGAAACATAACGTTCTTAATTATTAAATCTGACCGGCATTACATTGTAAATATTACAGACAACATGAAAGCCCCAGTTAATTTGATGACAAGATAACAAAATTAATACCCCATCCTAAAGTTGCTTAGAAATCGAAGATGTGTCTTCGTTTGCTGAAATTTTTTTGTCATTTTAGTTGCATGAAAGTTTGAAAGAATTTTAAAATTATTATCGGAGCAAGGAAGGGTTGCGTGACGGGGCCAGACTGTCAGATGTTTATATTTTGTAATGACTCATTCCAAAAAATTAAGATTTACCTTTTATTTTCATAGCTATTTTGATAATTTAAACTGTAGATAATTTTAGTCCAAGAATTGCAACTTTCATAAATAACTGAAGTATTTTTCTTTCCAAGAGTTTCGTGTATGACAGAACTGAAGACGAATGAATGTTTACATATAAAACAAGCGTGTGTAGTGATGAAGGAATAAATAATAACAACACTGAATGAACCCTGAAAGGGAATCTCTGTAGCCTGCGAGAGCAGACGTAATTCCCGGCTCGAGTTTCCCTGCCGAAAACTAAGGATTTTTTGGCTTTGGCTTGTAACACCGATTAACCAGATAATAAATGTACTGAACGCAGTGATCAAGGAATATTGTATACACGCTTTGTCTTGTCAGTAATTTTTTGATTACGCAACGCTGGCGTTCAAGGACAATTTTTGTGCTATAAAATGTGTACAGTATTCCAGAGTATTCTGTTCGTTTCGTTCGTGTCAATCGACGAAAGAACACACTGAGAAGCGAACACACTAATTCGGAATCGAGAAGCGAACACGCTGGCTCTAAATCGAGGAGGGAACTGACCAAAATTTGTGCGTATAACCCTATTCCTTGATCACCTGTTGCTTACAATTTACACAGTGAATTAAGGTGACTAAAAGCCCTTTCAATGAAGAAATATTAACCTTACTCACCGGCCCTCACGATCACGAAAACGACACTGTTAAAACATTAACTTACACCCAAATATGGGGTATTACTTACACCCAAATATGGAAAACGAACTCACGGAGAATTTGAGAATTTCATGCCAAATACAATTTATGAATGGCCACCTCGGCAGCTGAGCTCTGGCTCAGCTGCCTCGTTGGCAATAATATTTAATATTCAACATTTACGTATTGTCTGCTTAAAAGTGTCCGTTAACTGTTTTCAAGTGTCGGTTGTCCGTATGAGAGAGGTGTCCCAACTCCAGGTGTACATTTTAGAGAGGTGTCTGCATGTTAATAAGAGAGTCAGAGAGTTGACTGAATATAATAATATGTACTGTACATTAATGTACATGTCATATGTAAATACAGTTTTAAAAACCTCTGCTAACAGACACCACCTGTAGACAGACATCTCTCCCAAGCAGTCCAATGCCAGGTTATCCCCAGCATTTTGTTAGGTTGCCCAGTAACAGTTCGCCAGTACCCATTTACATGACTGTATTATCTTCATGTAAATACTCCTGGGTGGGGAGAGGTGCTGTGAGAGTTGAGTGTCTTGCCCAAGAACACAACACAATGACGCCGGCCAGTGCTTGAACCTGGACCGCTCGATCCGGAGTCCAACGTACTAACCATGAGGCCACCGAGTCTCCAATCTCATTCCCAGAGTTCTTGTTACCCTTATCCAGCGTCAGGAATGGGCAACATGGACCTCTTGGATAAAGCGTTCTGCCATAATAGGATTCTTGGACTCCTGGTTTTACTGCGCATGTCAGGCAGAACGCTTTATCCCGGAGGTCCTTGTTGTCCGTTCCTGCCGCTGGATAAGGGTAACGAGGACTCTGGGAACGAGATTTCCGCGTCTCCCCAAACACCTATCCTAAGCAGACAATTATTCTAGCCCCAAGGGTGTCCACCTACTGCAAATTTGATGACACTACGTACCAGCAAACATAGCTTTAAAGTAAGGACTACTTGCAGCCAAAACAACTTTGTGAGCTGAAATACTGCTGCCACCAACTCTTAACACTACATCGCACAAGTCCTCATCCTGACGTAAAAACTTGAGAGCAGTCACAAGGTCCTTGCTGTGAGCTATGTCAGTGAAAAAAAATTGTGGCCCAGCACTGCTACTATCACCCTCACTGCTATGCCCACTGTTAGCAAAGGACACAGGTGAATTCCTGTGAGAAGCCATGGGCGAACCTCTGTGAAGAGGACGGGAGTCTGAAAGAAGGAAAGAACAAACATCACCTGGGTAAGTAAACTCTGATACCGCAGTAAAAAGCTCAAGTGTAAACACGGCATTATTGAATCAGAGAAGAATGAGGCCAAACGAGGCAGAATTTTTTGTACTGCTGTTAACACTTACAAAATAGTTTTAAACTTGAACAATATATATTGAAATATTCAATGATGAATGGAATCCTTAACCTAACTCAATATCTGCCAATAAAGATGTAAGAATATATATATAATATAATATTATTATTTGTGTTTGTTTAGTAACAATATTCGTCGATAGATCTACAAAATTTCCAACCTTTAAATCTATGCATTGCCTGTTACCATCAAACATCTAAAATCTCTTTAAGCTGACTCTCTTGAAAACCAGAAATCATTAATATTTAAGTGAAATAATCTATTAATATAATTTATACTTCACCTCATTTCAATATTTCAAGTGTTATCAAATATTGAAATACAATTTACACCTTAGAATATGAATGTGGTAATTAGAAGCTTCAAATATCCGAACAATGTACGGTGTCAGCAAATACAGTCAAAGCTCTCTGAACAGACATTCGTTAGTGGACAGCTCTACTTACGGCCGCCTCGACAAAACCCCATTTGAACACTAGCTCATTTTGCACATTCTCGTAAGCGGCTGGTCGGTCCGTATAGCGAAAAACTGTTCCCTCGCTTTCGGGAGCTTTGACTGTATCAAAATTTGCATCTATATTGACCATAAGGTGGGCTAGTTTAATCTTGCCTGTTTGCAATAAGCCAAGTTAATAATTCAATTAAATAATTTGTCTAGTAGCTCAGGCCACGGGTCATATAAGACTTTGATTATTGCACTAAAATAAACTGAAACAAAGAATTATTGTTCAGTGATTCTGACGAGATCTGTACGTGTCTTCCAGCTCATGCAAATTTAAATTAATTCAACACGAATTCGTGATCAATGCCGGCGATCAGCCGGAAATAATTCTGTGTATTCAAGTTCAAATTTATCCCACTTTAATACAAAAACACGAATTATTTTAACAAAGGAACAGTTCTCATTCTATCGATACTCAGTCCATTCAAAGTGCTACTCATAAGTAAGGTTATCTTCTAAAATCATTTGCTGAATGGATTCTGAAAATTAACATTTGTACGTGCTATATTTTGACCACCTACAGCGAAAAACATCCAAACATCACCATAGCCAAAATGACAAAGGTTATTCCACAAAAACCCGATAATATTTAAGCTTACGATTGTATCCATCCTTTATTCAAAACCCTCTCTTGTGGCTGAGATTAAAGATATTTAAAAGCTCAAATAAATATTTAAGCTTATGGCTTACTTAGACCGGCTGGTTTCGTTTTGAGTACACTTCCTTTGACCCGAAAGCGAAAAATTATTTTAACCATCTGCATTGATTGCAGATGTATTGTTTCGGTTTGTTTCAATAAATGAATGCCTAGTCCTGCCACTATTTCAACATTATACCTTTATGAAAGCTAACTCGCAATATTTTTCAAAACATGTTGAATTCTTGCTAAACCATGGTGTCGATCGATCTGACAAGATCAGGTCAAACCCAGCTGTTTGGAAGCGATAAAGACGCGAATTTCAAACTCACACAGAAATATTTATATGTACTGACAAGCTTACACATAATTACTCACCAATTGACGCCGTTTTCGTGTGTTTAAAGGGGACCTATATTAAAAATCTTTTTGAAAACACACACAACTTATGCTCCCAACTTCTCTTCCAAAAGTGAATCGTCGACGTCATCGATCAGCTGCCAAATTTGGAAGTGGCGGCATTCTTGAAAATTACAAAGCACAGGCACTTCCGGTTGCTCGTCACGAACGAAAGAAAAGCTGAAAAATATAGTTTCCGTTTCTTTTACCTGTCAAGGCAAACCACCTTTCTTATGATATTTGTGTTAAGTTTGATATAAAACATTTTCTTTCACTTTTTTTGTGTTTTCCTGCCGAACACTCAAATATTTTCTGAAGGGGCTATGTCACGCTATTTTTTCGTCACCAATGGCGTATCTTCAAATTGTTGCGTTTGTTGTTTGTAATCCTTCTTAATCTTCCGAGTCTTAACAATCATTGTTCATTTATGGGTTAATCATTACTTTAATATTTGGCTAAGTTTGTTCACCATCAGAACATGTTAGCCTTGGCGGGGATGCAGATGGTAGGGGGGGGGGGGGGGGGGGGGGGGGGGGGGGGGGGGGGGGGGGGGGGGGGGGGGGGGGGGGGGGGGCAGGGGGTACAGGGGGCGGGAAGCAGGATTCTCAAGAACATGTACAGTGGAGCAACAGGAAATTTTTTTGCAACACTACCAACTGCATAATATAGAAAAAACACAAGGAGGCACCAGGAACTACAATGGAAGGGGCGGGAGCCAGTTGTACAAGGTATGGGAAGCGTTAAGTTCAGACCCCCCTGTCCCCCCCCCCCCCCCACCCCTGTAATCCTTCCACTGCTAACTTGAACCATATAAAAGGGGTGACAAAATAATGGTCTTTAAAAAAGCACGGGTCTCACAAAATTTTAGGCAAATTTCATGGGTCTCTCAGTCTCGATTTTTTCGCAAAGCTGTTTTGGAGTCTCAATTTCCAATGAATCTCGGTCTCGCAATCTAAAAATTCAAAAAAGTCTTGGTCTCGCAGAGAAAAAACGCTAGTCTCGCTGTCTCGCAAGTCTCAAATTTACCATTCGTCACCCCTACCATAGATCTTCAAGTTTATTGAATAAAAGCTGAAAATAGTGGTCTTCAAAAACAACATAAAACACAACTTTGTTTTGCAACTGTGTTTACAATGTAGAAAGGCAGGAAAAATCCCAGACATACAGCTGTTTCGAGAAAGGTTGTCAGAAAAAAGCGCACGCGACAATCCCAAAGGTATTGTGGGTAGTTTTAAGTTCATGGTTCCTTGACTTCAGCATTTTAGGGAAATCTGCGAGTGCTAAAAGAAAGCAACAAAAGTAGGTTCGACAGCTACAGTGTCAGGAACATACCTTGCTGCTCATATCCCAGATTACCTTTCGGGATTGTCGTGTGCGCTTTTTTCCGACAACATTTCTCGAAACAGCTGTACATGTACAGGATGCTGGACAGAGGGCAACGGGTCCAGCAACCACGAGTTGACAGTCAAAGAAACCCATCATCTACATATTTAAAATAGGACCTGAAACTCAGTGACTCCAAAATACACTTTAATAATATAATTTATTTACATCAATTTATTACTCTATCATTCCTTCATTCATCCATTCATATTCCCACGCATTTACAGTGCGACTACTCGAAGTGGGCCAGTCTGAAGTAAACTTTCTAGGTTTCCCGAGAGGTCCGCTCTTTGTTGGTATCAAATTTTGTTGTAGAACTATTGTCTGTATGGTTCAACGCGATTGGTCAGTTTACGAAAAAGGTTGCCATCCTTTTTTTGATTGGTTACTTTTCTTCGAACTGGCCCGCTTCGAGTAGTCGCACTGTAAAGATAATCAAGTTGTTCATTTTTTATCAGTTTCAAAGTTCCCACTAAACATACAGTACATGTTATATAAAAATTCTATGTGGCCATGGCCACAATTACATGTATACAATGTACATGTCTGCTTAGAAGGGGTGTCGGCCTATATGAGTCTGTTAGTGGAGGCTCAAATAATTATTGTAATATACATTTACTAAATAAAGACACTGGACAATGTGCGACTGACACTGTCACACCAGGCGCCCAGGTAAATTGCCTTTGGGAAATTTATTTGAAGCTGTTTCCATTGAACTAGAAAGTGATCCGCAAAGTGGTACATGATTTTTCCTGATAGCGATAATGTCTTCACTCGGCACATACTTTCCACAAACACCATTGTAATATCTCTTAAGCCAGCAACCTGAAGGAAAGGAAAATAAATAATAATATATATTTTAAAATATCACTAATAATACTACAGTCGACTCCACTAATGGCCACCTCTCTACAACAGCCAGGATTTTCCGGCCCAACCATGCGCCAATTGAAACCTCCCTACAATGGCCACCTCTCTACAACAGCCAGATTATTCTGCACCAGGATGGCCGTTGTGGAGAGGTTTATGGACACACATAGAATACTGACACCTTGTTATCATGCAGAATATTTTTTTAACCCAGTGGTTTAATTGCCAATACTGATAAATAAAAAATAAAAATAGGTCCACGATGTGTACTTATGGCTACTGCGAGTAAAGCTGCACTCAGGCCAAACTGACCCACACTGCTGGAGATTAGCTCAGTTTCTGTAGCATGAAGCCGACTAGGATTGTTGCTTCTTCCCCTCGATGGGATGCTAGTTCATCGCAGGTTACCCCCCAGCATTTTGTCGCCGGTCTCCATTTGTACTCCTGGGTGGGGAGAGGCACTGAGTTAAATGTCT